ATAGTGAGGAAAGGAATAGACACCCAGAAGGGAATCCAATCTGAGTGAAAGAGTCGAACCATTTTTTTTTAATTTTTAAAAGAATATTAACTGGTGATATCTTACTGGTTTTTTTTTTTTTGTGTGTGTGTGTGTGTGTAGTTCTGTATTACTTGTACCCTTACACTGTTTTGTTTTGTTCTGTTTTTTCTCTTTTTCCTTTTAAATAAAAAAAAATTTAAAAAAGAATAAAATCAAATGAGAAAAAAACAAAATAGAGTCATTCAAAACAAAAGGATGGACACAGTACATGTTTTAAAACCACAGTACAAGGTGATCTACAATGGTTACCATGATGTCTCTTGTTATCTTCAATAGAATTTCCCACATCATCAGGTTCAATAAAATTGAACATAGCAGTACAGAAAAAAAATCAATAAAAACAAAACATTGGATAAATTATAGGACTTCAAAAGAGAGTAAACCAGAATGGGTATCATAGTGAAGCTTATTGTCTTCAGAGTAGTTGCCTGTATTCTCAGATTTGTTACTATCAAACATAACAGATTTGAATAAAATCAGTCAAGACAAGATATTGAAAGCAATACAGGGCTTCAGTTATGTTAGTAGGAAATTAAAAATGATTACCATAGTATATCCTGCTGGCTTTGGAATAGCTGTCTGTGCCCTCAAATCTAGTAGACAAACTGGAACAGAATATAACCAAACTAAACAAAGCAATGAAAACATGGGTTTCAATTCATGATACAAGATTAACAATGTCCTCTGCCTTCCCTTTTCAGACAATTCTTCCCCTTTCACTTTCACAGGGTGCTTTGTACATTTTGTATCCCACTAACTCTTAGTTTTTAATTAGAGGGGCAACCTGCTATTTACCTAAGTGGTTCTGAACCTTTTTACCCCTGAGCTTGATTTCAAGTTGTATCCATTTACCTACATGAGCCTCAAGGTTTTCCTTCCTTATAGCTGAGTAGTTCTGCATCGTACAAAAGTGTTATGGTTTTCTAGCCAATCTGCAGCTGATGGGCATTATTTTCTCATTATTTTCTCATCTTTGACTTTCAGTCCACAAACCCTCTTTCAGGTTAATCATATTTCTTATATAGAGCATCACGATGGACCCTATTTCCTGATAAACTCTGCCTGTGTTTCTTTTTATTAGTGTATTGAGGCCATCTATGCTAGTGATTATGGCCAACCTTCTCTGCCATGCTATTTTTCTGCCATTGATTGTCTACTTTTCCCCTTAATTCCACTGTCTGTCCCCTTCAGTGAGCTCCCTCTGCTGCTGTTCTTGAAACCATAGTCTCTTTTCTCTCTCTCTCTAGAATGTCCTTCAGTATTTTTTGTAAGGTTGGATTGGTAGTCATGAACTCCCCCAGTTCCTCTTTGTCATGGAAGCATCTTGTTTCTCCATTAATTTTGAGAGACAGTTTTTCATGGTACATCAATCAGGGTTGGAAGTTATTTTCTTTCAGGGCTTGGAATACTTTGCTCCAAGCTCTTCTTGATTTGATGGTTGTGTCAAGAAGTCTGTTGTGATTCTGATGGGTTTTTCATTATAGGTGATCTGTTTCTTTTTTCTGACAGTTTTTAATATTCTATTCTTCTGTTGAATTTCTGGGACCTTGATTATTATTTGTCTGGGTGTAGATCTATTTTGGTTATAGCTGGCTGGAGTTCTGTATGCCTCATATACCTGAATATCATTTCCTTTTCCTATACTTGGGAAGTTTTCTTTAATTATTTCTGTAAATAACCTTTGTATTTCATTAGTGTTTACCCCTGCTTCTTCACTCACATTTTTATTCTAAAGTTATAGATCCTCTTGTCATCTTGTAGCCTTTGTATTGTTACTTCCTGGTTGTTATTTTTAAGAGATTTTTCCTTTCATGGGCACTCATTGCAAACCTGTTTTCAAGGTTTGATAATCTATCTTTAGTTCTTCAAGAAGTTTTGCCAGTTTTCAAAGGAGTTTTTAATTTCCTGGTAATTTCTTTGAATCTGTTTCATGTATTCTAGATTTTTTTATATTCTTCATCGAAGGTTTCCCTCCTTTTTCTCTGTTCCTCCATTCTTCTATCTGTGTCTTCTTGAGAGGTGCTTAGCATTTCTTTTATTATTTTTGTTATATCTTCCTTTACTTGTATTAGTGTTTCTGATATGAGTTCTTTTATAATGTCACAAAGATATTTCCTTATGTCAGATGCTGTTTCTTTGGAAACTGCAGGTGTGCAACCCCCGATCTCTTTTGTGTTTACCTCTCCTAGGCCAGTACCATTTGGGTTGGGGGTTGGAGACTTCCTTTTGCTTCTTCCTCTTGTCATGTTTCTGGTTTCTTCCAGACAAGTGGCTGGTAGTGGTCCCCGGCACTTCCTGTATTGGTTACAATTACTCTGAAGCATGCTGGCTAGGGATTGCTGCCCTCCCCAGTCTACTGTTGACCACTGAAGTACAAGCAGGGTGGGGCAGGCTGGCCCCTCCCTTCTGAGCTGGTCAACCACTGGGAGTCTTCATCATGTTAGTGTGTGCCTTGCAGTTGGGGCCAGTTAGGTATAACTTCAGGGGAACCTCATCCTTGGCTTTTGGATCCCATACAGGTATGGGACTTGGTCCAAGCAGTTCTCACCAGTGAAGTGGCTGACTGAAGCTGCTGCAGTTCTGGTTCTGGGCTTATCCTGCCTGACTCCAAAATGTCACCCAGCCAATCACCCACTCCCACAGGAGGACTGAGTTCCCCGCACTCACGGCAAGCTGGTGCAGATCTCTGAACCAGTGCTGTTCTCCTCTCTGCCTCTCCCCTCTGTGACCACGTTCTCCTGCTGAGGCCCTCGGGCTTGTGAACCCCCAACTTCACTGCAGCCGTGTGTCTTTGGATTCAGCAGCATTTGGTACACAGTGGGACTGGCTCCAGTGAGAGTAGGTCTGGTTACAGCTTCTGTCCACATTTTTTTCCTTTCTTTTCCATTTAGTTTCTTCTTGGATCGAGAGGATCTATCTCCTTCCATCTGGTCTTCTCCAGGATGCTGTTTTCCAGCATCAGAGCTCTTTCTCTCAGAGAGGCTCTTTACTTTGCTGCTTATTGATCCAACATCTTCCCAGCTTCTGAGTCTAACCATTTGACCTGGTTGCAAATGTGGACAGAACTAGAGAGAACTAGAGAGAACTAGAAAATGCAATGAGTCCCTTGTCCTCTTTGGATAGACTAGGTACCAGGGATAATGCAGATGGTAGAAATGATGATGTGGAGGCAAAAGCAGACAAATTTTAGATAGAACAATCACTTCAGAAATGATGAATCAGAGAACAGGAAGAAGAATACAAAGGCCCTGATGCATTAAAAGTTTTAGTGTGGCTGAGGGGTTGAAAGAAGCTCATTAACCAAACACAGATGGAAAGGGAGGGCATAGATTGGGAAAATGTGCAGGACCACTTCCCTCTGGTCCCTAGGGCCTGTTAGTGGTTTGCTTTGTGTTATAAGAGCAATGGAAGCCTTGAAAAGTCTTAACCAAGGGTATGATTTGATCAGATCCCCCTACGTCTCTCAACAGAATGGATTAGAGAGAAGGTAGTTCCAAGGCCCACTAACTCCTATGGGAGAACAGTGGGTAAAGGGTTCTTAGAAATATCTAAAAGGAAGGGAGAGGCCAAAGAGGAAACCCCTGGATTTAAGCTAATAAGATTAATTTTGGACTCAGAAAACTCATTTTAAAAAGTGATGCAGTTTATCCAAGTTGGTGAAGCAGTTCATACTAATTACTTTCTGTAGATGGGTGATTTCTAGTGATGGTCTAACCAGCATAGCTGACTCACTGGACTTATAATATTTCTTTCTCTGGAAAAGATTTTTATATTTACTTTTAAAAAGCTTTAAATTAATTAATTATTTGTTTTGAGACTAGGTCTTGCTTTGTTGCCCTTGCTGGCCTCAAAGTCCCTAACCCAAAAGTGATCCTCCTCAATCAGCCCCTTGACGATCTGAGCCTACAGGTGTGTGGCACCTCACCTGGTGTTTTAGAACCAAGATTCAGAATTTTTATGTAAGCCAGATGGCAGCAAGAAGGGCATTTCTGGGACCAGAAAACGTAGGATACCCAAGCACAACAGTAACACTGCGGCCCTTTCCCTGAGAGCCCACTCCCTCCTCCCCACCCCAAGTTCCTCTTCCTGTCCTCACTACTGCAGCATCTCACCCAGGTGCAGACTGAACACAAAGGGAAACCATTTGCTATGCAAGACAACTGGCTATAAATGATGCAAACTACCCAACTCTTACTTTATTAGCATTTTCCCTCTTTAGGCCACTCCCCTTCTGTTTCCCACTTACTTATCCATAATGTATAGATAACACTACAGAGGAGGTTGGGACAGGAATGGAAGACAATCCTGGGCCCAGGGAAACTCAGAATTCTTGGCACAGACTTCCTAGTATCTCCCAGCGTTTCCAGCACTCCCTCCTGTTACGAGACAAGAAACTCAGGTGTCACTCTGACAACTTCTGCTTCTTGGCCCCATAAAATCCATCACCAAGTCTATCAATGGCACTCGAGGGTCTCGCATACCCACATACCGCTCTCTTCTGACATCCCTCTCCCCTTCCCAGCTAAGATCTCTCTTCTTTTCTCTGGGTTTTGTAATGGCCTCCTTATCGACTTAGCCTATGGAACTCTTTCAAATCTGTCCTCCACACTGCATTCAGAGAAAACTTTCAAAAGGAAAACTATGTCAGTTTTATCCCTCTATTGTGAGAGCATAAAACATTTCAATGCCTCTTTTTGTTTTAGGATACAGACTAATTTCTTAAAAATGTCAAGCTAGAGATGGCAGTCTAACTCAGGAGTAGAGTACTTGCCTGCCATGCACAAGGTTCTGGGTTAGATAGCGAGCAGGGGAAAAATATATTTTGATCATAGAAAGAGACACATTACTGTTAATCCTCTTTGAAATACTCGCCCTTGCTTCAAACACACTTATTTCATCATTCCCGTTTTCTGATGCAGTTCTGGAAGTCCTCTTTCATGAGTCTCCCTGTGAGACGTGATGAAAAATATGAATGCTGCTACCAAGTGCCACCCAGCAGAAAACCAGCCTCATCAAAGCAGGATGGCGTCCTCTTCCACCTAATTCACCTGGTCTGGCACCCTGTGACTTCTTCCCCAAAGTCAAAACGACCATGAAAGGTAAATGTTTTCAATCAGCTGAGGACATTAAGGCAACCACAACAGTGCAAGACATTCACATAAAAGGACTTTCAGAACTGCTTCAGGAAGTTATAAGAAAAGTGGGGCCAGAATGTCTGAAGCAAGGGGGGAGTATTTCGAGGAGAAGTGATGGCAAAGTGTCTTTTACTATAATAAATATTTTTTAAAATTTAAACATTCACTGTAGTGTTTGGTAGAATATACCTGTAGTCTCAACCACTTGGGAGGCTGTGACAGAAGGATTGCTTGAGGTCAGCCTGGGGTAGCATAACAAAGAGCTGTCTTTAAAAGAAACACATATGGAAGAATCCTGATGATGAAGAAGAAGTGTGGTGGGGTTCTACTGGATATTTTTCTTATTGGATTCAGAAGTCAGAAGCATGAGAGTCAGAATTGGGATAGGGAAACTGATGAAAAAGGATCCTGTCTGGGATGACAAAAATACAGCAGTGTTCCACTGCCAGTGTCACAAGGGTCAGCAGTGGTGTCCACTGTCATGGACAGTGTCTGTGAGCAAGCAGTGCGTCCTTACTGGGTGTCTCTCCTGAGAGTTTGATTTTTCAGTCTTTCTAGCAAGTCTGTGTGCTGTCCAATATCTGAATAGTTTAACTATTTTCCACTCTAAATTGCTAGAATTGGTGTCTGTGGCTTATGCTTATAATCCCTAAGGTAAAACTTTTTGGAGTGCACTGACAGTGGAGAATAGCAGGGGTCTGATGCCAGCTCCTTAGTTCCTGATCTCCAGGGGTTCCACAGGTTGAGGAAGCAGTAGGGCAGCTAAGGAAGAAGACAGTGTTCTGCCTTAACATCAAAGCATTTGTGGACTCAGGACATAGGAAAGTTGTGGAGCAAGGCTTGGTCTGTCAGAGCAGGCTTCCAACATAGCCTGCCTGGTGGAGAGAGATATGAACAACATGTATCCCCAGGAGTGCGGCTGCTTTCCCATCCAACTGCTCTAAGAAGCATGTCAAGAGCTTCGTTATTATCCACTGTCTCAGCTCGCTAGCAAGGGGTCTCACCTCCTCAAGGACTGTACCACTGAGCCCCAGACTGAATGTTGGGTAAAGCAATGCACTGTCAGAAATTAGCACTCAAGGCACACCGATCCCCTCAGTAACTCTCAGATTTAAAATCTGACTAGCTTCCGTTGGTTCCTGTCCCATTTCAGCACTGAGTCTCCAGCTTCTCATTGACTCTGTGAGCTGCCAATGAGCCTTCAAGAAATTCTCCTTTCATTTGACTTGCTAATGCTGATTTTTGCTGCTTGCAACCAAGAAGTCATGATGAATTATCTGGTCCATGACTTCCATTTGGCCACCTACAGATGGTGGACAATAATACAAAGACTTGGACAGTAGCTGCTAAAAGAGGAGTGATCTGGAAGCACCTGAAATGTAGTCCATAATAATCCTGGGGACTAATCAGGTGGCACTAGCTAAGAAGGAAAGACAGCTGGTAAAATTAGTGTATTGTCGTGCAGAAATTTTCTCTTGGGCTGGGGATTTAGCTCAGCGGCATAAGCACCTGCCTTGCAAGCAGGCGGTTGTGAGTTCGATCCCCGGTACCGATAAAAAGTTAAAAAAAAAAAAAAGCAATTTTCTCTCACCAAGTAGAAATAAACCAGGACTATATGAGCCAGGAAGGTCATAGATGAAGAAAATTAGCATTCCAGGAGCATCTTGAGTTGGATGCAAAAATCTTCAGATGTCTTCAGGCACATATGTCCTAGATGTACCAAAACTACAGGATGCCATCAGGCATTGAGAAAATGTCTTTTTCTAGAAAAGATATCTGGCCTTTAGTGCTGCCAGAGTTAGAAACTGGCACAAGAGAGGCCCTGTCCTCTACTGGAAAAGTCTACAGTCTATTATCCTGTGCTGTGTCAAGGTAACCCTGGACCACAGGTGGAACTTGGTAGTTCTGGTGACATAACCAGGATGGATGCTTGGTAATCAAAAACAGAAATAGCAACTGCAAATGCCTATGGAGCTACATGCTTTGTCTGTCCAACTCGCCACTGCAGGGACCATGCAGTGAAGCTCTCCCATACTCCCCTGCCCAGCCTGCTCCAAAATAACAGGGCTATGGCCCATGCTGCTTCCACATCTGGTCCTGTAACCCCAGAAGCTGATTGGCGCTGAGTCCATGACAAACTGTCCAGAGGAGCCCCCAGAATGCTCTGTGGAGAATAAGGCAAGTAAAACCTTTTGTAAAACAAGGACTCAATAAAAATAACTGAGTGAATAGATCTCATCAGCCTGAGCCACTCAAGCGGGTGTCTCTCTGTGTTATATGAACAGCATCACCCATTCTTAAACCTGGAGAAAGTTCCTGAAGATTTCAAGGTTTTATTTTATTCATCCCCTTCATTTCTATTTTCAGTGCTGGGGCTCCAACCCAGGGCCTTGTGCGTGCTAGGTAAGAGCTGTCTATCTCACCGAGCTGCATTCCCAGCTCCATCAAGCCTTTGCAAGTCATCAGCCCAGTAGCCTTTTGACTTCTGTCGATGTCCGCTCCCGGCCGGCAGGAAGGACACACGACAAAGTCTGGCAGTGGACAACCTTTTCTTTTATTTTTCTTCTCCGTACAGCCTGCCCTGGGATCGCTCCCAGCCGAAGCCTCCTCTGGTCCACTCCCCGCGGCTCCTTTTGGGCTTCTACTTCCGGGCTTCTTCTTCCCCCCCAGGGGTGGCACCAGTATATATACGGATACAGTGTCCAATCATGTTAAAGTAAGCAAGGCAAGCTGATTGGCTAACATCATCAGTTGCCAGGCAGACTATATTGTTGAGCGGGTTGCTTACGCGGTAAGCAGGAAACTAACGTGCTCGATGGGAGGGGTAATCTACCTCAGGCTTTACTCTTTACTACAGGCCTCACGTCTGCCAAGTGAGGCGACCGGGCTCGGGGCTGCGGCTCCCAACATCTCCCCCTTTTTTATTTTTTATGAATGTGCGCATCGTAGCCCTTTCTGGACTGGGTGTAGAGGCTTATGCCCTATGCGTAGGCCCACCGTAGGTCCTTGGCTTAGACCCTGGTCGGCCGTCCCATGGTCTGCCAAGGCCCTGAGGCCCTCGTCCTTTTTCTAGGGCCAGGCACAGACTGGACGGAACCTGGATGCACATAAGCTTGCACTCATTTCCTCTCCATAAAGAAATCCCCTCGGAGAGAAATTTAGACCTGGGCAGCATCTAACAGTCCAGCGGCTTACGTGCAGGATGGGGTAGGGCCTGGCTTAGGTTGAGTCGCACCGGGGGAGTACGCTCTTACCCGTCATTGACTCTCCTACCCAGCTATGTCATAATTTTTTAGAGGAGGAGTGTGGGAAGCTCACCGCCCCTAGACTCGGTCGTAGGCTAGGCGAGCAAGCCATGCATATGCCTGAGGATCTTCTTGTCCATTTCGGGCTACCGCTATTTCTATTCATCTTGTTGGTTGGTCTGTGATGGATCTCCGGTAGGGCAGGTCTGATCTTCAGTCGAGGGCTTTGTCGCCCGTGTCAGTCTCTCCGGTACCCACAGTGGTTCTCGTCCCGATTCCTGTGGGAAAACACAAACCGCGCCTCGGTTCCAGCTGACCACTGGATCCGGGCCCATCCATTGTCCTGTCAGGACATCTTTCCACTTCACCCACCCTTTATGGTTGGGGGAAGGGTTGCAGTGCTCCACAGCTGGGGAGCAATTATCATTATTTAAATTTAAAAAAATTGTGTGTGAATAGTGCCATGGATAATCGTGCCTTTGGGGCCAGGCCTTGGCCTACTCCCCCTTTTTGTTTTTGTAAAATTTCTTTGAGGCTTCTATGAGCCCTCTCAATGATTCCTTGACCTTGGGGATTGTATGGGATACCATGTTTTAATTGAACCTCCATCATTTTGCAGAACTCATTGAAGGCTTTGCCTATATAGGCTGGTCCATTATCAGTTTTTAATATTTTTGGTTTGCCCCATGCGGCCCAAGCCGCCAGGCAATGATTGATCACATTAGACACTTTTTCACCTGTTTCTGCTGTTGCGAATATGATGTGAGAACAGGTGTCTGTGGAAACATGAACATATTTAAGAGTCCCAAACTCCTGTATATGTGTGATGTCCATCTGCCAAACATCACCAGGGATCAAACCTCGAGGGTTTACTCCCATCGGTATGGCAGGTTTGTATGTGGCACAGGAGTCACATAGTCGCACGATATCTCGTGCATCTGCTCTGGAAACATGGAAATGGTTTGCTAGTGTCCTGGCATTGACATGAAACTTATCATGGAAGGCACGGGCTCGCTCGATTGGTGTTAGTAAGGTAAAAATCCATAACGGGCGAGTGGCAGTATCAGCAGCCGCATTCCCCTGTGCCATAGGCCCTGGCAGGGATGTATGTGCTCTTATGTGGGTGGTGAAGACCTTATGGTGTCTGTTCTGAAGCAATGTCTGGATAGACAGGAACAGCCCAGCCACTGTGGAAGTGGATCTAATTAAACCGGCAGTCTCAAGCACTTGCATAGCATTGACCACATACCTAGAATCGGAGACAATGTTAATGGCTTCTGAGAACCGTTCAAGAATCATTTTAACGATCTGCAGTTCCACCACCTGAGGCTGATCTGGTTCAAATTGTATGGTAACCGGGGGCTTGCCTAGGATCACATAGGCGCCTATCCCCGTCTTGGAGCCATCTGTGTATATTGTAGTTGCTGGGACTAATGGCTCAGAGGCAGTAACCTTTGGAAAAATTATAGGGTGCTGAGTGACAAATGACAAGATAGGGTCTTTAGGGTATTGATTGTTTATATCCCCATGGAAAACACATCTCAGAATGGCCCATGTATCTATGCAGGCAGCCAGGGTCTTGATCTGGCTGGCGGTATAGGGTACTCGGATGGCTTGTGGTCCTGAGCCAAAATGTTGGACAGCTCTATCATGCGCTTCAAGGGCCAATGAAGCGACTGCCTCCGGGTAATGCTCTATGACTTTTGCAGGTGAGACCTTAGGGTGTATCCACAGTAGTGGTCCTTTCTGCCAAATCACCGCTGTGGGCTGTAGACTAGTCTGTAGCAAACAGACATCAAAGGGTCGCCCTGGTTCAATTCTGTGTAAGGTAGCCCCACCTAAGGCTTTTCCCACTCTCTGTAGGGGGGCCAGTAGGGAATCAAGGTAAATCTGACACATAGTGGGACTG